TTTTTTTTTTTTTTCAGGGACTTTGCTGACTTTGTTGAGCAAATGTAAAGTCTATAAAATTAGCGTTTGTTTACATGGTATCAGCGGTGTCTTTTAATGGGAAGACTTAAATGCTTGTAACTGTATACAAACGATTTCCTAATTATTAGGGAATCAATGGGCTTTATTTGTTGAATAAAGACCACTTGTCGTATACTCTCTCAAGGACCAGTAACTGTTGCTCTCTCCAAAACATCTTTTGCGGTTTAGTTGTTTCCTCCTACTTTTTGTATTTTTACTGCGTCCAAAAATTTTCTGTCTTGTTCTTCTAGCCAAGTTTCACGTGCACAGGGCAGCAAGATTGAAACTGAGCGAGCAGGTTAAAGCATAGCAACTGATAAGCGGAAAGCGGATTCCGGCATGTGTTGTAAACTAAGTTATTGGGCCACCTGTCAAAGCACCGAATTTTAGCCCCCAACAGTGCAAAATATTGCGGTGATCGCATCGTGGATTTTCGCCGCCTCTGAGACCAAAATGATGGCTGAAGGTTCGCGGGGACCAGCAAAGTTGCTCGAGTTCGACACGGTTTTTTTCTAAGGAAAGAGGCTTACCAGGGCTAGAAGTGGTAGAATTGTCAGCCGAAGAGATAGGGTTTGAAATTGACTACAATAAGGAATGGACTCGCTACTATTCGATCCAAGATCACGCGATTTAGGAAATGGGAGCCAGAAAGATAGAGTCGAGGACGAAAACATCCGTCAAAGGTAACGAAGTACCAGGAGTCCACATTCACTCATCGGGAGCATTTAGGCAGTTGAGAGGCTTAAAGACAAAACGAGAAAATAAACTTCTCAAACAATTCTTTTACACATCACTGTTATGCTCAAAATAAGCTATCTTTTGCTTTTATAAGCATAATATGTTGGCTTGACGATATCTGTGCGACAACACAAAGGTTTCAAAAGAGATTTTGAGAGACAGCTCTAAAATCCTCCGTCAGCTACGAAGGTTCTCAAGAGACTCTAAAGACGGAGATATGCGCAGGATGAAGATGGTATTGGGAACAGGAGGTATCACTGAAGATAGAAACAACGCGGACTGACCGAATAAGCATGGATTCCTAAGAAGCGGAATGGCAGCAGCTCTAGCCAATTTGTACTTCGATTAATTTGAAGACATTTGTATCAAGACCGTATTAAATCATCGCGAGGCGAATCCCCTGATCTAACTCTTTACTTTTTAATACTTTTTCTTTGCGAAGAGAGGTGATTTATCGCTGTCGTATTGTTCTGCTCATAGCACCCACGGGGTTCCCCTAGATCAGACGACATAGATTATTTTTCTTTTGACTGATATTTAAAGGATTGTTGAAGTAGTCGGAGCTAAGCGGACGACACAAAATAAGGAAAGAAAGCACTCAACTTAGTTCTTAGTGTTAGATCGCTAAAGATAGCATTTCAAACTGAGGCCAGGAATTCAACGTTCCTGATGCAATAGAAACAGAACTGCGACCTAGATCTCCTTAAGTACTTAGATGTAGATAAGAGCGGAGGGGGGCGGGAGGGAGGGGATTAATCTTGAAAGGCTGAGCTAATGACTTTGAAGGACAAGTCGTAATACTGTCAGCTATTCTGCTTCTCCTTGTTCAAGGCTATGATATTATTTTTTACAGTGTCTCCTTTATTGTTTGTAGCTTAGACGGTATCAAGCAAAACACATAGCAGTTTTAAAAATTGATTAAAAAAAGTAATAAAGAGAATGTTTCGCAGCGGATAAAGAAAATAAGTTGTATAACCAAAAGAAAACTGAGTAAAACTGTTCAGTAGTCAGATATGTGTAAAAAAAAATCTGTTGCTTTTTACTGATAAAAGAAGAATACGGGGGAAAAAAAACAGGAAACAGTTGCATAAAAATAGTATTCGGGGTTCCAGTTTTTCAAATTGCTTTTATAAATTTGAAAAATTTAAGAAAAAGAAAAAACTGGAGAGAAGTAATGGTTCTTATGAGTGGTTAAAAAAATTTCTCTTTTTTCCTTTTACTTTTTATTTTAGCAGTTCAAATATACAAATGCTTAGGAAAAGAAAAAATCGAAAAAACAAAATACTGAAGTATTCTGAAGAAAACTCTAACATTCCATTTGTTTTTCGTAATGATATCGGCTCCTTTCTGTATCAGAATGTCGACTACTTCCAGATGGCCACTGGACGACGACAAATGCAACGCAGCTTCCTTAAGTAAAAAAGTTAATCGCTTCTTAGGTGAACAGCACTGTAAATGTACACTGTTTCAGCACTTTCTTACAGTCTAGAAACCAATTTGTCGACACAGCGGAATGTAGTTTCCGGAAAGCTTTTGAGAAATAAAAAAATCTAATTTTTTACTACTGTTTCATTCTTTCATTCTTCATTGGCGCTCATTTATGTCCTGCATTTTTCAGACGATATTGCAATAACTGTTTCACTTCATATTTAAGTCAAACATTCGTTTTTTTTTTTCATGAAATTTGAAAATTTGACAGTGACAAAGATGGGAAAAGCCGTTGCCGATATTCAATTCAAAACCGCGGTTCAAAGGAAATGAGGCAAACAACGGAAACTTTTTTTTTAGTCTCAACTAAAAAGTCGATCTTTTCTTTTTCCTTTCTTTCACAAGACTGAAAAAATCTGCACAACATTTGTTGGCCGTCAACCAGAATAACAAAGACGGAGAATCACTACACTTATCAATGAAATATGAAGAAAAGGGAAGAAGAATAAAGTCAACGAACGTAATCTATAGATCGTAATATAAAGATAAAAATACGAAAA